GGGGGGTCCCCGGTCCCCGGTCCCCGCCGGGGTCAGGCCTGGCGCCCCCGCCCGCGGTGTGTAGGAGGCGGCGGGGCTGGGCCCGATCCCTGCCGTGGAAGAGGCAGAAGGAGAGCCGGGTCTGCGGGCGGCCCTTCCTACCGGGGAAAAGCGAAGGGAGGTGGGAATACGCGTCTGGAAGTAGTTTCACTGAAATGCGCCTTCCTCGATGTGTGCGTCGAGAATATTAATTTCTGGAGGGGAAACTCTTGTGTGGTAAAAAGGAGCTGATGTGCAGAGCTGTGTGGAGACAGCTCCTGGTCTCTAGCCTAAATTACTAAGATTGCTCGTCTCTTGTGATGGGTGTAATAAAAGGGCAGCGCATATATCACTTTTATTATTTCATTAAGTGTTTTTTCCATTCTGCAGCTAGTGGCATTCTGGCTATTGACAAGGCCAGGGAGCCCATCACCTTAGTACTGGCAGAAGATGGCACCATTGTGGATGATGAAGACTACTTTTTGTGTCTGCCATCTAACACCAAGTTTGTGGCACTGGCCAAGAATGAGAAATGGTCCAGCAGAAGCTTAGGTACTCTGTGGAGGAGGGAGGATGGAAGGGGAGGGGTGCTTGGCTACACCTAGTGAAATTAGGCTGTCTCAGGTGGGTCAGGAATGACCCATGAAACTGGTGACTCTTGTGTCAGACAGTGGAACAGGCTGGCTCTCGGAGTCTGTGGATGAAGTGGACGGTGCTGCGGAGAAGTGGAAGCAGTTGGCCAGGCAGCTGAAGGATGACCTGTCTAATATCATCTTGATGTCTGAAGAAGACCTCCAGGTACAGTGGGGAAACCTCTCATTGCTGTCCTTGGCTCTGCCCATCATCCATTTAGCTCCGTAGATGGCAGAGAACAGAATAAGTAAACAAGATCTCAAGCTTAATTCAGCTGCTGTTGTTTGGCTGTGGTGCTAAATTAAATTTCTCCTTGAGGGGAAACACTCGTGTCTGAGGAGGATGCTCTTAATCACCGATTGTCCCTCACAGCATGTTTTCCCAGTTCTGGCAGTGGGAGGGCAAAAAGTCAAGATTTGGCCAAATGGCAACTGAGGTGGGCTCCTTCCTTAAAACCTGTGTAATGTGTCAGAAGGGAAGGCTGAGCAGCAGGCCAAATCTGTCTGCTCCGCAGGGGTCTGAAGAACTGCTCTCAGTTTCCAGAGCTGATTGACTCGAGTATCTGACTGCTTAGCACCTTGTATGTGGTGAGGCGTGGTGATAACTGCCTCTTCTGGTCCTCCTGCAACCTGCAGCCTCCCAGGCGCCAGGCTATTGGCTTTCCTTTGTGTATTCCCATGCATTTGTAAGAAGTGGTACTTTGATTGCCAGGAGCTGTCAGGATTTCTGTTAAAAATGCATGATTCCGCACCTTCCTGGGTGCCTTTTGGCTTCTGGTAAAGAATGCTGGCTGGTGGAGTGCCACTACAGCCTCTCATAATTAGGCTGACTTGCTGTGACAAGAAACCTTGTGAAACATGTTGGGTTTCATGAAGGTGGAGGCTCTGTCGCTCAGGAGGCTTGCCGTTTGTACTGTAGTCAGTGTAATGGAACGAGTTACTCCATCAGTCCGTGTAACAGCAGCACTCTCATTGCTTTAAGGTGCTTATCGATGTCCCACGTTCAGACCTGGCAGAAGAACTTGCCCAAAGTCAAACCAAGATCCAAGTATTGCAGGACACCCTGCAGCAGGTGCTGGACAGACGAGAAGAAGAACGCCAGTCAAGACAGCTCCTGGAACTCTACCTAGAGGCCTTGAAAAATGAAGGCAGTATCTTAAGCAAAGTAGCAGGTAGGGAGCATTAGGATGCTAGAGAAGGAGCTTATCAGAGATGACTGAAATAGCTGAGTGGAATAAATAAGGCAGAAGGAAGGACTGGAGTGAGTCACTTGCTTGTAACAGGAGCAGCTGTTAATGTGGTTGATGTAATGGCTGATATAGCGTAAGAATTCTCTGACTGGGTGAGACCAGGAGTCCTCTCACTGCTGCGTCACATTTCTCACAAGGCCTGAAAGTAGAACACTGGGGGGAAAGCTTAAATCATGTAGTTGTCCTTAACATTATGGATTTCTTAAATTAGAGGATGCACCTAGGTAGAATGCATATTTTATTAACCTCAAAATCATCAAGCAGTCCAGGCCACTTTTCCTGTCCTGTGTTTGTCACGGGCTTTTAATGATTCTGCTGCTTTTCAGAATCTGGGACTGTACCAAGAAAGGAGATGGATGTGGTTGACGCAGGTACCAGCAGTACAGGCCCTTCAGCCAAAACGGCGCTCAGTGACCAGATCCTTGCTGCTCTGAAAGAGAAACCTGCTCCAGAGCTCTGCTTGGACAGTCGAGATCTAGAGGTGGGTGAGAATGACGTAGCCATATTCTGGCAAATCTCTCCCTCTGGAGAGAGAGGTTATAGGGGAAGCTGTCCTTGCTTCTGGAGGCTGTAATGTCAATATATCTCAGTCTCAAAGTGGTGGGATTTATCGGTTTCTTTTCCTCAGTAACACTACCTCATGCTTGGAGCTCCTCTGTCATAGCCAGTTGACACAATTCCAAGTAATCTACTCTGTCCTCCGAAAAGCCACAAAATAATTTTGTTTTTGATCTCTGCCAAATCATAGTCAGCCAGTGCTTCAGCTATCTTAGCAAGTTTTTTTGTATGCAGATGCATCTAGCTGTATTTCTTCTGTACATCCCAAATCAAAATAAAAACCTCCTTATTTTGGAAAATAGTGTAAATAAACTCATAGCTTGGAAAGGAAAGTCTAGGTAAACTTTAACCATTAGAAAATGTCTTCTTTCCAATGCTATGAACTTGCTCCTCTTGCTTTTCCCTGCTGTAGAAACTAAGTAACTGCTTTCTGTGCCTTTGAACATCTGAATATAGCTTCAAGCTCTAAGTGTTGGTAGAATATTGAAAACGCACTAGCCCACGGGGCAGATGATGAAAGCTGGGAACATCTTCAATACCAAATTGCCATTATTAACCAGGGGTCTCATTACTGCTGTTCTTAATGGGGGCAGAGGGGTTGGTGGTGGAGGAGCATCAGTAGAAAAGACTGTTAGAGATCTGTCTTGCTACAGCTGGTCTTGAAAGAAGACACACAAGCCCTGGCCTCGGCTCTGAGATGGGACAAGCAGAAAGCTGAAGCTCTGCAGCAAGCCTGTGATCAGGAGCTCTCCAAGCGGCTACAACAAGTGCAGACTTTGCATTCCCTAAGGAGCACGTCAAAGGGCAAGAAAACACTGCCCTGGGGAGACTGGCTTAGTTCAAAACGCAAAAAATAAGTGCTGCTCGCAATTTTTTTTTTTTTTTTTGCATTAGAATCAGTACAAGTGAGATACATCCTGGGAGCCATAGTTTGCTGGTCATACTGTGGTCTGGCTATAGACAACTAAAATCTGGACATTGTCCTGAGGCTTAACCTCCTGTGATGATTCAAATCATGTGTAACCAAAGGGATTTTGACTTTTTGCGGAATGCTAGAACAATGGTATTGCTAAACACAGCATGTAAGGGTTCAGCTTTGAATACCTGGTTGGGAGCCAGAAGCTTCCATCCGACAATGATGGATCTAGCTTCTGAAGCCCGGGGCAGTTTGCTTACTTTGTCCTCCCACCATTTTCAATGGAAAGGATGGAAGACCTGGTGGAAGACGCTTTGAGGCACAGTTAATGAAGAGAAAGAAGGCACTTGGAGGATTGCTGACTGAACAGAGTACTTATTCTTCGGTAGGGTTTATTGTGATTTGGCCTAGTTAAGCTGTCATTGTGCAGTTTTTCCAGCTGCTCTCTGGCTTTAAGCTCCAGCCTGGGATCTAGGAACTTGAATTCTCATGCTAATTTCATCAGTTAAAGTAAATTCAAAGTCCTTTAACTTCTTTGCTTTTTCTGTAAGGAACCTCTGCCTCTTGGGTGCAGTGTAAGCACTGACTTGTAAAGCACAGCAAAGGTGGAAGTACTTGCTTTGTAAGGCTGTGGGGCAGAAGACTTGGATTTGGCCTGTCTGTCCTAATCATTAGTATAGTATCATGATGCTTTTGTATTAACTGGCTTATTTTTAAATTTATTAAAGTCGTCTTTTCTAATATCATTAAAATCTTTTTACCTTACTGTTGGACTAGTTTTGCTGTTCCCACCAGCTGCTATGATTAAAGAATGTGCTGATAAGTACAGTATTACCTTAAGGATAGAGGAAGAAGAAATGAAATACAGAAGTACTCCGTATTTAACCTGTCCAAAGTATTTAGATAGAACGCACGTTCATGCTGGTGACACTGCACCAGAACTCTCACCTGGCACAATCTGTTCTTCTCTTGTGAGAACAGAAGATGTATATGAAAAAATCTGAAAAGTGAGCTGAAACTTCTGAGAAAGTTTTAGTAGGTACAAATGTTTTCTAGTATCATGCAAAACCCTCTGATGTAACATAACCTTCAACGGTATAGGATGCCAGCTGATGAGTATTCCTACAGCAGGCATTCAGATGGACCCATTGCAAGCAGACATTCCAGTTGAATTATGGCACGCTCAAGGTGAGACTGCCAGTGTAACTAATAAATATTCTAAATAGTTTAGTGGCTTTGAGGAGGGAAGCAAAAATACTTAGGGTAACTTCAGATGAAGTTACCCATATGGGAATTGACTGGACTTAGGGGGGAAGCTTGCAGGCAACTTTTTGGTTAGTCTGTTTTGCTAGGGCAAGTAATTGCTTCTTACAATATACACTTCTGGCTTGTAACATTATAGGCCATGGCAAGTAAAAAGGTTTCCTGCTGCTTTAAATAGCTACAAGCTGTTTACATTCAAGTCTTTCTGAAATAGCATATATGGCTGTGCATTAACAGAATTTTTGAAGCGTGCTCTGTTGCACTCATAGCTAACTATGCTGGCTACCAAGTGAAATGGCGTGCTTTGAGTAGACTAGCTGTCAGCAAGCTGCTTCTGTGAGCTTATGTCTCAGCTTGTGATTACCACCCTCTCCATTATAAATCAGTTTTTCAGTCCTGCTCGAAGCTGCAATGCTTTTGCTTTTTTCAAGCTCAACTTGGCCATGGAAATTCTACTCCTCAAGCTGTACAAGAGGAAAGAAGGGTTTTACCTGTGACTTTTTTGCATCTACTTAAAATAGCAGATAGCATAATTACTTCAATCCTGTGTGTATTAGGAATATTTAACTCACCTACTTCCAGGCAAACACTGAGATGGAGTCACAGAGACCATGCTGATCATTCTTGTAGGAAGGCAGTGATGGTCCTTCCAATCTAGCCTTAAGGAAAAAAACAAATGGAGGGTTTTCATTGCTGCTTTTTCCTCTTTGCTGTTACCAAGGTTAGAACCCTTTAGTTGCCTGTAAATTATTACATGCTGCAGTGCTTATGTTACAGAATTCAAATTATCAACTAGACCTAGCATAGTATAATTTAAACTGTTACTTTTGTCTTAATTGTTCTGTTCTAATCTAACAATCAGATTTTCATAATCTGATGGGAGCTGCAGCTGTACTCTGTCCTAAAGCTGAGCTGGCAGTTTAATAGTAATATTGACTATAATTTGCAAAAAGAACCAGTATATAATACTTAACTCTCTTTAAAGCTCTATTACAGTCAACATCCTTCAAAGATCTCCATGAAAAATAAGAAGCAATTAACTACTGATTAAGAGACTTCAATGTTGCATATCATTCTGTAATTTCTATTAAAAATCCTTTTTTAATGGTCAAGTTTATGTATTGCTTCTTGGACCTCTTTCAGTAGTGCGGTCAAGCAAAGATGAAAACTGCTAAAACATCTCCATTTAACGAGATTTTTAAACCTAGCAGTACAATTATCTGTATAAATTGATTTTTTTCAGTGTAGACTTTTACTATTGATCTTTAGATCATCATATTCTGAACGTCAGTTCATAGCTCGATTTCCTGTTGGTGATAACAAAGCGCTGCTGCCAGATCTAGTATTTCCACAGCAAATAATCACAAAGCTTTTCAGTAAACAATTTTAGCCATTGGCCAGCACCTTCTGTATACCAGCAGTGTATATGCATGTGTGGTTGGAGAGGAAGTAACAGGAGATTTTAGGTGAGGACAACAGACAGCATCAGAGCTAACAAACTTTCAGACATATTGTTTCTCTTCCTGACATGTTGGGCTTAATGACCTCAAAAGAAAAATCAGGTAAGCTGTGCAATAGACGTCTACTAGGCCTTCCTCTTGAAAGATAGCTACTATGACATCAAAATGCTTGATGCTTCTAAAGGCCTAGGAGTCCTGTGAAAGAAATATCAATTTTCTACTCAAGAAAGGAATAGGATAAACAATAGAAGCAAATCAAATAGAACTGCACATATCTTGATAACCAGACACCTACAGAAGTTGCTCCTTTCAAGTGGATAAGAGCAAAAGATACTTGATCATTTTTTGCTTATCTATGCAAGTCAGGAGAAACTGTCCACCTAAAACATGCTCTGTAATCCAACTTAACCTTAAATTAGGTCTACATTTTGTAGACATGAAGTATGTTTGATCCACTTAAGCTTATTTAAGCTGCATGGACACTTTAACTATGCAAAAATTAGCATTTCCTTGACCTTATTCCTGTAATATTTAAGAAGCTTTAACTTTTGAACAGGGTGACTGACATGCCCATGATTCATGAGGATGGATTTTGTATAGGTGTTCAAGAGAGAGGGATACGGTATGGAAGGTCTAAAACATAGCCAGAAGACGTGTGAAAACCTAGGGCAGCTGCCATTACGCTTTTTTCAGGGTAAAAATTTTAGAATGTCAAAGCCTTGAGTTGAAGTCTTTATCATTAAGACATTCAAGTAGACAAACCTACCTCGTAACAGAGATTCCACCGTGTAACAGATTCCTTCTTCAGCAATAGATTTGCCATAACTGAGTATCCTCAATTAACGGCCTTCAACACTGCATTAACAATTTCTCCCTTAAAGCACCAAGAAAAACCTTTTGCATCTCCTGTGGGATTGGGACCAGGGTACGTTAAGGTAAATAAAGCCTCACGAACCTCAAGAAAGGAAGTAATGTATAGTGGCATTAAAAACAAAAAAAGGCAATATGAAAACTGAGTCATGCAAGCATTGGTATGCCAAGAGGACAGATTTCCTGTCGATTACAGAATTGCTAGTCTCTTCTCTACCTAGCCTACATCAGTCAGTAGAAGAATTCTTCTAAAAGGTATCTCATCCCTGAAAGTGGAACAGTTTGGGATAGGGGAAAGGGAGCGTAAAGTGTCATTGTGTAAAATTTCCTGTATAGAGCCAGAGATAGGAATTCATTACATTCCTATTTTCTTCTACACTGTAGCACTAGATTTTATTTGATCAGTATCGGATAGTTGCAGCCTAAAAAATGCATGTTTTTTTTCCCTATCCACTACTGCTTAATAGCTCAAATACAGAGCAAGAATAAATGTAAGGAGTGCAGAGCATTACTCTTGTTCCATTGTGTCATGTATAGCTGAGTGACTCTAGTCCAGAAAGTGCACTCTTCTTTCAAGAGAAGGGTTTTAAACAAGGAGCAAAGCTACACCTAGAAATTCTCAGGGGTGATCGAAAATATTCTGTCATCTGGTAACTTCTTTATCCTGGGGTAGTATTTAAGGTATGAGTCTTACTAAAATTAGAACCTGATGATTTTAAACTTGGCTTTGGGGAATTGCCCTAAGCTGTATCCTTCAGGAAGGAACAAGTGGTTGCAAGGAGGAGCTGGTCTCATGAATCAAGGGCTGAGCAGAGAAACAGTGTTCAAGTCTTTCCTCTCTTGCTGCATATTTTAGACTATCCTTGGCAAGCATATTCTTGCTTGGTAAAGTTTGCCCACGCAGTAGCTTAAGCAGCCTTCTCATTTCGCTTGGCTCTGTCTAATACCTCATGTCTTTAAACCTGCTTCTTTTGCATCGACAGCATTTGGTAAGCCTCTCTCAGTCCAGCAGAGGGCAATGGCGATACATTCCTGACCACCACTCGGCAGCCACGCTACTATAGTAAAATTTAGAAACGTAATGCAACTTATTGAGAACGAAGATTGTACACCAGCACTATCACAGGTGAAAAATGACACAAAACATGTTTTAATTGTCAAGAGAACAAGTGAGAGATATGGCTATTAAAACAAAACAAAAATACTCGAAATACCTAAGCAAAAGTATCAAAAATGGAAGCAAGGAGGAATTCAAACAATTACTGGATAAACTAAGTAGCAACGTGGAGGGAATTGCACATACTGAGATATTATGGTCAGTGAGAATGTTCTGCTTTAAACTCTTTATTTAAAGGACTTCCTTTTTAATAACAGTAAGATACCTTTTTGTGAGCAATTAAGGCATTTTGGCTGTAAGCTTTACTGAATTCCAACAGACCGACCTTTCATTTTTTAAACAAAAAAATCCAACCAATCATGTTCCCCTAAAAACCTAAAGATTCGTTACTGTTGCTAACCTGCAAGAGGAATCTCGAAGAGGCTAACCTGGGTTCCTCTAGGATAATAAGAGAAAATGACCAGAGACATTACTTGAAAGGTAAATCATGCCATGTTGGAATCTTCACTTTCAGTCACAGCTGCTTCTTGCTCCCCAGAAGTAATCCCTCCCTTAGTTGCAATGGACTTCTTTTTCTTCTTCTCCTTTTGCTCCATGTTACTTGATGCGATCTCTTCACTCTTCTGGGTGATATACTTTAGCTGAGAACAATAATCAGTCATCTAGTGAGGAACTTCATTTATTCATGAGAAATTAGCGAGAAACGTTTAAGAGAAATGAACAAGGCAAATTCTTATTACCAAAAAGATGACAGACACTCCAAAAAGGCTGACAAACACCAACTTATTTTAATTCTTGCACAAAGCCCTCAGTCTAAGCTGGATATCCCCAGATACTGAAATGCCCTGGCAAGACTAGGATTCATAAATGTGTGTTACATCCATCTCTAGAACCAAGACAGCAACATTAGCAGTTACTCAGAGTTGTAGTTTGCCGAGATATAATCTGAGTACAGAAACATTGCGAGATTCCTCTGCACCCACCTGACATAAACAGCACATGACAATTAGGAACATAAAATTCAGTTCCTGCATTTACTGTGCCTTCTCAGGCAAGTTCATGTTGCATATTTCAAATCACAGATGGAAGGAAAAAAAACCCCTCACATAAAATTAAAATTAGTATTGGAAGTATTCTTCTTCATGGAAGCATTTACAGGCATGTCCTAACACGTTAGTGAATTTAAGTCCACTGAACATTATACAGATCAGCACATGAGAGAATACAATAATGTCAATCATCCCTATATTAATGTTTGGAGACTTAGCACCTCAAGGTAGACTCAAGCTATTCCTGACCTTAGGCTACAACAACGGAACACAACATCAGGGAAAAAAAGAAGCAATTTACTTCTAAGATTGACAATGCTGTAATGTGATGTTTATTGCACTTTTGTACTTGGAACCTCAGAAGCCCTGTTGCAACCAGAACATAGCTGCTTGAATTGCAATCGGATCTGTGTTCCCACAGTGATGCAGTGTCATGAAGCAAAATAAGATGAAAATTTTAAAAATCACTGGATTGTGCCCATCCATCATCTATAAGCCAGTGAAATTGCTTAAGCAACACTTGCTTCATCACCTATAGCCTTCATTCAAACGCCCTTAGGAATCAACCAACTGGTTTAAGACTGTTGCGAGACAGAAAATACAGTGAATCTCACCAAAGAATTGCTCCTTCTAGCCAAAAGCTTCACATCTTCTGTAGTGACTGTGCTTCGTTTTGCATGCCTGCATAAAATTAAAACGCCTTCATGTGTTTGCCAACATCGGTTGTAAGAGGCCATACAGCATCTAATTCAGAACACTAACTAAAAAGGCTTAATAGGGACCCAGTAAACCAAATATGCCTATCTTTTCCAACTATAATACACAAAAACTTATTTTACAAGTTTGTGCACGTACATCTAAATTCCCACACTTCCTGCATAAAACCAGTAGAATTCAGCAACCAGAACTTCAAGGACCACTGTTCCATTCCCTCTTGCTTGCCAGTAGGTCGCTGTGTTAAGTTTTGACTCCTTAAAACATTCTCTTACCTCCTTGGAGCAACCAGATGAAACACAGGCATGCTAGTAAGCATCTGCCACTCCCAAACCATCCAAATGTATCAATGCATTTGACAATTACATACAGTCATTAATCAAAACAATCACTTGTACCATGTAAATGAACTTCCAAGATCAGGAAGAACGTACAGGGGAATATCTCTTTCCTAACTTCACAGCCACTATTTAATCAGCCAATAGAGCCCTTTAAAGCTTGAATTAGAAGACATTATTTCAAAGATTATCTAGTTACTGGAGCTGAATACAAAAAAAGCAAGCCTTTGTAACAGTCAAGTGTTCCAGTACCTACCTTGCAAACATTTCGAGGTCTTTTGCAAAGTTCTCTAGAGAAAACACAAAGACGCCACATACTTTAAAATGCTAACTGATAGGAAGAGATACATAATACAGTTCCAGCTGTTACAAAGGTGTAACTGCAAATTGTCCGAGTTAGTTACGAGAAGCGACCATAACTTGTTATTCCATGCCACTGCGTTGCAGAGGCGGGTGGCCCACACAATAGTTCCACATATATTTAAATGCTTTTTCCAGGTCTGAAAAACAGAATCACTATTTCTTGTACTTTTAAAAATGTAACGCAAGAAACAATGCATCAGTGATACCTAGTTCCAGTGCTATTTTTTTTAAAGCATCGTTTCTCCAGCAATTGCTCTTGAACAAATAGATAATATGCAAACTTCTGTACCACACTGCCTGAAGGTGATCTCTGAAATAGCCGCAATGGTTTGTTTGCTGAATTGCATCTCTTTGTCTTCGGCAACATCCTGACACAGGCAGCCAACCGTGTAGTGAACCGCGGCCTTCAGCCTCTGAAAGGATCCAAGGCAGCGACAGGTCAGTTCTCTGCAGGCTGACACGCGAGCTCTTGCATAAATCATCAAAACTATTTAAAAGGGCGCAAAATAAGCGACCGGTTACGGACCCAACACACCCAGCAACACCGCGTTTGTCGTTCACTGCCCCATACAACCCCCCCACCGCCCGGGCTCCATCTTGGCCCGGGCGGGCCCTCTCCCGGC